CTAAACCACGAGTTAAATCCGTGCATACCACCCTGTAATTAAGTTCCGAGTTTATTGTATGTGACCACGTGAAAACTCAATAGAGCAGGAAAGTCTGATATTCAAGAGTGACCTGTACAGGTTGTCACGTGTCGGAAATCAATGGTCTATTAAAAACAATCATGTTAGGATAGATTTTTTTTTATTTTTTTACTTAATTTGCCACCAAGGGCCAAGAAAATGTTCTTTAATTGCCGTGGCAAATAACCAAGTGCACCACCGACTAATTTTGGAGAAGAGGCAGTTGAAGAAGTTAAGCGTCTGACTTCATCTTCCAGAATGTTCCCGAACAGGGCGTTGTTGCACAGAATTGTTTGTATGGTGCAAATGTAAATGTTTTCCTTCTTTTGACGTCACACCCATCGGAATAAAATTGGTAAATACAGTAAAACCTTGGATTGCGAGCATAATTCGTTCTGGTAACATGTTTGTAATCCAAAGCACTCGTACATCAGTTGTGATCACGTGACGCTTGGCAGACAAAGCGTATACACGTACTACTCGTATTGCCAGACCTCGCTCGTTTATCAAATTAATATTTATTTAAAAAATTTGCTCGTCTTGCAAAACACTCACAGACCAAGTTACTCGCAATCCAAGGTTTTACTGTAAAATAAACAATTAGTAAAATGAATACAAAGCACATATTGCGCATTTCACAAAAAGTTCCCGGAGAACTTCACGAAACTAATCGACAATGAAACAGAGAAAATAACTATACAAAGTATAAAACTGAATAATCACCGAGCTGTAAAAGTACGCAACAGTAAGACCACAATTTGGATTGTTAATAAAGGTATAACCAAAGAGAATCAATACAGCCTGAAACCCGTATAACATGAAGACTATCCAACAGCCTCCAACTAAAGAAAAAATACGGACTTCGAGTCCCTGAATGACAAAGTAAAATGTCCTTTGCAGACAGGCAGAAGCATTCTATAGCGATCGGGGCTTAACGAGGATGTCACACAACTGCCAAGCAATGCAGTGCCGTAGTTAATTCTGGGAGTAATTAATGCACGAGAATTAAGGTTTATTTCCAGCGGACAGCTCACGGCACTTAATTGTCGAGCGCAAACTTTTGCCCGATGTCTTCTTCACGCCATCAGAAAAGGAGTTCTGTTTTGGCGAGACGAAGCGACATCGGCTGAAGGGCAACCTTTATTCGGCGACGCTTTGACAAGTCACTTTCAAAAAGTGCCACCCCTCTTTCATGAAGGGCTTAAGGTTAATTTTACGGTCACCGCATCGCGGCGCTTTCAGAATGCGCTTCCGCGGCCGTCTGGAACGCTCTCTTCCTTTCCGATATTAGGAAGCCACTGGCAGCTATGCACTTTTAAATCATCTAGTTAAAAACAAATTTCTTTTAAAAATGTTTGTGTTTATTTTTCTTGCCCGTCCCTCCACACCTCCGGTTAGCATGGTTCGCTGCGTACGGTGCAAAAGAAGTTCAACATTCATACATGAAGACCTCAAACTTAATTTATTTTATGTATCTGCACTTCTATGTGAACCGCACTGCTGAATACGTGCACCATTTAATAAAATGGATGGACCGTTAAGTTTCTCAAAGGTCACTTGGTTTTATTTTAAATTAGATCGGTTGTTTTTACTGAACTTATTATTTTTCATCTACAGTGCGGTGCTTTTAAAGATCATTCTCTGTACAATTTTACTCCCATTCTGTTTAAATCACAAACCTTAGGCATTTAACCAACCCATTCTCCACAATTCATGATCAAAAGTCAATTCAAGAATATCCTTTTTGTCTAATTTCTTCCGTCTCATTTATACCACGAGCCTAAATGTCAGACGAACACAATCACCGACAATCATGACCAATGCACTGGTGGATGAAGGCTTCCCCAAGCTTGTCACCATCTCTCTCAGTACCATAATGTAGTAATCCAAACTGGTACCGGCCGAAATGGATATCTAATTATCTCTTTATTTTGAGCCAAACTTTGAAAGATGTCTGAACTTTACATCAGCGCACGACACGCATACACTGTAATTAAGTCATAGACACAAAGTTAATGTATGAATCGTGCGTGTGAGAATACATTTTAAACAGTTAGTTGAAGAATCATTGGATACCTAGTGAACTCAGGTTCCAAATAATTGCCAACAGCTCTTACGATCAGCATTCATTACCACCATTGCCCCAGGCCATATTAATATTCCATGCCTGTGTAACCTGAAAAAATATAACTACAAATTGACGACCTTACATGTTAGACTGCCCAAGGTACTGAAAGAAAGTTCATAACAATCCTCGAGATAAAAAATGGACCAATGTACGAAAAAGTTAAACCAGCATAACCAAATGCATTAGGTCGGGTTATATTTGCTTTACTTTATGGAAATGAATCCAGATGTTATTTTGAACCAGAGGATGAGTGATGGGTGCAGTGGTTTGAACAAAGTGCTATGAACCCTATGACCCAAGCTTCGGGTCTTCCCAGCCATGGTTAACACCACAGGGCAAGGAACATTTGAATTTGTTAAGAGCAGGGACCCCACTACTCTTTACCAACCCATACCAACCAGCGTGGTGAGGCATGGTCAAACAACCCCCAAATATCTGACATGGCAGAGGACTTTGTCCATTGTTGGATCGACCAAGGGCTGTAAACGATAAAAGTTGAATGTCCAACAATTTTTCTGATCGAGGTTTTTTTGGGTTAGAATATGTAAATAAAATGTGTCGTTAAACTCGCCACCACCCGTAAGTAAGGTTCGTGATGTAAACAAAACATTCCAATTCGTTCCAAGTTCAGCACACCGGCATGTTAGAGAGTAAACCCGCAACATTACCATCTTATTTTTCCGAGTATAACGTTTAGCAAAGTGACGTCTTAATTCCTAATCATCCCCCACCATCATTTAATCACCGATAATTGCAACTCTAATTAGCTATGAATTAAGTCACTTCCATATGGCACTTCACTCAAATGCCATCCCAGAGAAAACAAGTAGTAAAATGTATGCATGGTTCCATGACGATATCTAACAAGCATTTATGCTCTCAAGTATTTCAGCAGTGATCACAATGTAACCTTCCGATGTCACACGGTAGGAGATTGTCACTGGCTCCGCGGGGGGGGGGGGGCAAAGCAAGGCATGCACATGACGTGTGACATCGCCTTGATTCAAAAGGGCTTATCTATTTTATCGACGAGTATTGGGAAACCCTTTCATCAATTTGGTTGGTTTACCAAAAGGCAAGTCCCTCATAGCAAACAACTTCATACAAATTGAATTCTAAATGTCATTGGTAATACACATCACGGTTGTACAACTGTTGCCATTGCATTCATAAAATGAATAGGAACCTCTGCAAAAACACAACTACAGTATTTGTAGAAGTGTTCAGTCGAGGGTAGTATTTGCTTTACTTCTGTATACCTTTCGATTTAAAGCTTTCGTGACTGCAGGGATTCATCTTCTTGGTTCTTTCGGTAAAGTCACGTAGAAGGGAAGTAATAAAATAATAAAAATAAAACATGATAAAATAATTCTCACGACGTTTCGGCCACAACGCAAGCAGCCGTCCTCAGGTGGTCGACGGACCTGTTCTCCACCTGAGGACGGCTGCTTGCGTTGTGGCCGAAACGTCGTTAGAATTATTGTATTATGTTTTATTTTTATTATTTTATTACTTCCCTTCTACGTGACTTTACCGAAAGAACCAAGAAGATGAATTCTGTATACCTGCTTGTATTAAATCCTGCCTGGGTGGACAACATCACAGCAAATATTAAGACATATACAGACGGGACGGGCAGACCCGACGGACAAAGACATCGCATGAATGCTCTCAACTCAAGTGTGGGAAAGTGTTAAACAATTAACTCGTAAAAACAAAGTTTGTCACTCTAAATCCTTTATATGCGTGGCATCGGTTTTATTTTATTATTCATTTCTGATTTTCTTGAGGAAGAGTTTCATTTTTATCACATTGGTATTTTTAATTAAATATGAAATTGTTTTTTTTCTAAAAAGTGGAAAATTTTGGAAATGTTTTTTCGCGAAAATAAATTGTCTCGCACAACGAGTCTGTGTGCAAAATGTCAGCTCGATTGGATCACGGGAAGTGGGTTAAAAAACGACCGAAAGATTTGCACGGTCGTAAGCGCGCAAGCAAGCAAGTGAACTTAATATAAAGGATTTAAAAAGACTCCCTGGAAGTAAAACTTTTTTGTTATCCCAGTAGCAAAAAAAAACGCTCATCCGCCCGGCAGTGGCGCCTTTGGACAGCTGCTTACATCACTGTTGGCGTTCTTGAGTTGATTCAGCAGGTACTCGGTGATCTCGCCCCCGTGGTTGGCATGGATCAGTCCAAGCGCGTAGAGCCCGCCGCCCTCCTGATACGCCGAGCCCGGCGACGAGTCCTTGGGCAGGTACGTAGCCATGAGCTGCAGCGCCTCCTTCTCGTGCCCCTGTTAAGACGACAGCAGCAGCGGCGGCGACGTTACGATCAGTGGCCCACGGCAGGGGCGGGAACCTAAGTTGGCAAAACCATTCACTGGGCTGCCCACACAGAAAGCCCAGCGGAGTTGAGAGTTTTACACGTCTGCTTGATGAAAATGGAACTGGCAAGACATCTCTGCGGTGGGGAAACGCCCAGACAGGAGGTATGAAAAGATTGTAAAAGTTGTTTCACACGATTCAGACAGAAGCCAAACACAGACTTAAGCCGTCCTTCATCAGGAGCCGAGAGACCCTACGTCATGTTTTCTCCACCACGTCTTAAAAGTGTTTTCTCAAATCTGCTTGAGCCAACAAGCACCAATTCACTGCATTAGGGGGGTGCGAGCCTACACAGCCCGCTAAGGATGCCACTCGCACAGCGAAGTCACTCACGTGCCCGATTACACGTCTTTTACTTCAACATGAAAGCAAAGTGGGCTGACCAGGGTGACGAATTAGGGTGGCTCATGTCTACTGTAGCACACCGAGCCACCAACGTTGAGAACGTGGATTCGATATCCGGGCAACCTTGGATTCGAGTGTAAAGATTTGAAGGTTTTTACCCCCGTCCCCCATTTCTAAGTATTTTATAAAAGTTTATTTATTTGCTATAGCACGTGTTTTATGGATAATTCTAATTTCAAGGGTGAAATATACCGAAACTCACATGCCGAACGATACAAAGGTACAATATCTTAAATAGGTTCCAGAAAGAGCCGTGCGATGTCAACTTGTGGGGTAGTTTCCCGACAATGCAAGTCTGCCGAGTCACGCAGTTGCCAGTGGACAGTCCATCACCGCATGACAAGGCTCCAGGAGATAATACTTGGGATGTAAATGTTCGTGAAGATGCCAACACTTTTAATTTTATTTGATCTCGTTTGAACTCGGGTATACAATTGAATTATTGCGTCAATTTCCGTGAAAAAACTAAATTTGTACACCCACTTTTCAATCTTTCTTTACGGGAATAACATTGTCAAGCTTTGTATATCAATTCCCTGCCTGCTAAAATAATCTTTATGAAATAGTTTCTGGTTTTTAAGATATAATTTGCCATTGACACAGGTTGTAAAGTCTTTATAGTCGGAATATTTATGGTCTTGTGTAGATTACTCTTACTTCACCTCTAGATTTACCAGTCAAAGTAAATTTGCTAGAATAACAAATAGTACATGGGAACATGAGGATTTATGAAATGAGACAGGATTATTTTTCCCGAGTGGCTTGTCTATTATGTTTTTATGTATGGAGTCACAGCATCTCCATCAAGTATCTTGAAAACTCTCAATTATAAATTCCTTCCTTTATTCAATTGTAGAATCGCTCCTAAAACTCGTCCCGGAAATCGACCCCAACTAATTTCGATCCAAATGACTTGTTTCTAAAAGTATTAATACAAAAGGCTGTTTTCATAACCACCAACCTTTTATTATTACTCGTCGTGTCTGTAAATAATACCTCTTCTTGGTTCTTTCGGTAAAGTCACGTAAAAGGGAAACAATAAAATAATAAAAATAAAACATAATAAAATACAATTCTCACGACGGACGCTGTCTTTCCGACAGCCCTGTTCTGCATCTGAGGACGGCTGCTTGCATTGTGGCCGAAACGTCGTGAGAATTGTATTTTGTTGTATTTTTATTATTTTATTATTTCCCTTCTACGTGACTTTACCGAAAGAACCAAGAAGATGAATCCCTGCAGTCACGAAAGCTTTAAATCGAAATGTAAATAATAAGTGAACAATGTTCTCTCTCGCATGGTAGCACGTGCATGTATATGAATGCCATCTTTTTTACACGCTTTTATTTTACTCACTCTGTCTATTGTTGTTGTTGTCGTATCCTCAAATATTGTAACTCAATTTTAACCCACTTCCCAATGTGGTATCGACTGCAAACTTGGTATACTTATGTCATACTGATGACAATACTATATTCTATCATTAAAAATTGAAAATTTAAACCATCTTTTTTATATGTTATGTTTCGGCTTGGGTCTAATTTTCCACGGTAAACTGACATTGGCTGTAAATTACCACTGCCCCCTTACGTTATGGCAAGCTTCAGGGCCACTTCCTGGAGTCGTGGAGTTTTGCCATTATGAGTACGGTACATTTCATTAAAGCGTGTTTAAAAAAAAGTATTTTTAAATATTACTTATTTGGTTACGCAACCACAACCTTTACAGGTGGAGATTAATGTAAAGTATTGGTTCCAAAATTCATTGCGACTGCTATTCAAAGTTGGTTAGCTCACAATCTTTTTGTCACCTCACTTGGACATGCAGGCCCATCCTTTGTAAACTCTTTAGGGTTGTACATTTATTTTTATTTGAATTGCCCTATTGACAAGAGCGCGGAACAGGTTGTATATTTATATAGACAGGGAGAACTAGTTGGAAATATTTTATGGCAATGTTCTTTCCAAGCCAATTTATTGCGGGCCAGTGCACAAGCCGCCTTCATATGTTCAGGATCAAGTAAACTTGATCTACCACCAGACACCCGAGTTAATTAAATTTTATATAATTAATGAACGCACAAAGACCTTCGGCTACATTGCATCTCTTTAGGGCACTCCCATTATAAACGGTTAAATGCTTCTACTTGCTCCGTTAGGCAGCTCGTTAATTTGCTGAAGTGCGTTCACCAAATTGCACAATCGAGCTGCTGCAGATGCAACATTTGGCTTAACCGCGCAAGAGCCGCGAGACTTCCGCGGCAGCTGAAGAGCCCAGTGGAAAATGTGATCGCCACTGCTGTGGCACACGGCTGATTTAATTCCCACCACTGCCAGTTAACACTGCGGGGCAAATTATTATGCGAAAAGACACCCACAGAATGGATGGATGGATGTAGAAGTTATTTCGCACCGTACTTAGCCAACCGTCTGGGCAGAGTAAACGGTTTGACACGCTATCTGTAGTGGCGCATTAAGCGTTCTCTCGAATGTGTGGGTATTCTTTGGCCAATCTGTTTTATTTCCATTCCATATGCACTGTACTCAAATTAAGCAGGGTGTTTACTCGAATAAGAACAGTTATAGCTAATATCATTTCAAGCCCTTTGTCAATGCACTGCTGGAGGAAGGACTCCGCAAACTGTGTCAGTTCATGAGCGGGTTTGTTTGAGCGTAACTTCACTACGCTGGTCAATGCGAATCGGTAAAAAAATCAGTAAAAAGAGGAACAGATGAATGGACCCTGGTGAAAATGGGTCCCGATACGACGCAAATTAATTATTTCCATAGGTGACCAAAATAATTATGTATGTTTATAAAGATAAAATCTGAGTTTTTTTTTTACTTTTTGAGCTGCCCCTACTGGACATCTGTGAAAAAGAGCTTCATAGCTCAGATTCATCCTCCAGCATAAATAAATATTCTGATTCTGATCAAATTGTGATGTGTTTTCGGGTTGTACTGTTTAATGCTCGACATTTCGCTGGACATGCTGCGAGCTTCTTCGAAAAGCTTAACAGAGCTCACTTCACTTCCGTTCAAATCAGGTTCTGAAGACGCTTTCAGAATGTGAAACAAACATCAAACATCGTGCAGGACACTCTATATAACCAGAGAACGCACCAAAACTCTTTACAGCACAACTGCCAAACATCCGAGAGGCTTGCACACCTGCTGTGCAGTGGACTAAGAGTCACACACCCTCGCACACTATTCGCAAGAGAGCTTGCAAGTTCTTAAAATCCATCAATTGCGACAAACTGAAAAATATTTCATCCACACAACCGCCGCGCCAGTCGGGGGGGGGGGGGGGTCATCCTCTACACGAGACATGATCACCTCCGCTGCGCCCGCGTGCATTGCACAAAAAAAATCACTTGGCACTGCAGACGGCGAGCGAAGAAGAGACGGGGGGGGGGATGGGGACTTCGAGATGCATTTGTGATGCATTACAGGACGATTCACGTGAAACGACGCAACGGACATAGAAATCGTCAAAGATAGGGCGGTAAAAAAAAAAAACCTCCACGGTGCAGACTCAGGGAATCTAAGGTCACCAAGAAACACGGTTCCCAGTGTGAGCATCTAGGGCGGGCTGGTGTGTGGTGTTTAATAGTGCGCCGGTAAATGACAGCTAATGATATATCATGAACTAATAAGAAGAGGTTTTACCCTTTCTGGAAATAAAACAGGAGTTAAGATGTTCAAACACCAATTGGATACCGTTTGCAAGGCGTCGAGAGTGTGCATTAACCACAAGTACTTGTGGCAAAACATGCAAACAAACAGGCTCTGACTATAATTTCTGCATTGTCTTTGAAACCAATTGGCCTACAAAAGGTATCTATTTGGTTTTTGAACATCGTAATGCATTTTTTATCGCCAGAAAGGGTCGAACCTAATCTTATATTTCCATCATTTTGGATACTGCTGAAAGGGTCCCGTAGACAATGATATATCATCATATAATTTCATGAACAGCCCTTTGTCAATCCACTGCTTGATGACGGCCTCCCATACGATATGCCAGTCATTGGGGTCATTTGACCATGCTTCGCTATGCTGGTCAGTCTGGGTTGGTTAAGATGGAGCCGGACGCATCAGCCCCAGACATCACTGGCCACTGTTGTTGGCCGTGGCCAGGGCGTGAACTCTGGTCGCCGGGTTCACAGAGCAGGGCGTGAACCACCGCCCCAACGACGTATCAGAATAGGTGATTGTAACCACTTTTTGGATGATGCAAATGAAATAAGATCTCCAAGCTGACAACGTATAGAATTAGCGGTTTTACCAATTTTTTTTCTTGTATTTACATTTCATCAATGGAGCTTTTCAGCTGGTGATAAATAAATGAAAAATATAATATGAATATTCCTGCCAGCCATTCTATGATGATGTGGTTCGGAGATAGAACCACAGCATGTTCATCACACGTGCACACAAAGGCCACAACAATTATATGTAGCCCGAGGGCAAAGAGATAGGAGACAAAGCCATCATTTCCTATGACTAACCCAACGGCAGATTGAACAAAAAGGGTTTAAAACTAAGAAAACACATTAGACATATGAAATGTGTACATGTGTATGGGGTCAATACAGCCGTGTGGCCCTGTTACAATTCAAGGACAAAAAAAATCTGACATTTCTCCGTGGAGCCAAGAGTTTCTAAACTCCAAATCCTCGTAGAAAGAGGGCACTGCAGCAAAGTCCGTTGTTGTACTGGACTTTCTATGCTGCTGCATCTTCAATAACCCACTCTCATCAAAATGGGGAAGTATGGTCCAATAACCTCCACGACCCTCATAGCATGGGCAGGCCCATCATCCATAAATGAATTGTATGGATTTACGTTGAATTTCTTTCACGCCGTACATAGCCAACCGTGCTAATCGGAGGTGCGGGGGGAAGAAGAACAAACTAAACACAAAAAAACTGTTTTAAAGAAATTCGTTTTCCATCTAGAATTAAAAGCGCATACCTCCAGTGGCTTCCTAATAACGGAAGAGCATTCCAGACGGTCGCAGAAGCGCATCCCGAAGGCGAGCGATGCGGCGACCGTTCCGTTTGAGGGCCAGCCAAAAGCTGCTGCCGCCGCGAGGATAACCGGAGTTTGCATGAAATTGACGGACGATTACACACCTTGTGGATGACACCGAGGCTAGCGGTAGCTGTGAACTTGGCCCAGTTGGTCGCCCGTGCCAGCCACTCCAAGTTGTCTCTGTCAATTGCAAAACGTGTGTATGTTGAACTCCTTTCACACCGTACGTAGCCAACCGCGCTAATCGGAGATGCACGAGATATAAACCATTGTGCATCAACATTAAATCGTTTTACTGTAATTTGCGAAGGTGATTAAGTGTGATATCTTAATCAGCACTATTTCGCGTTAGCCAACGGCCAAATGATGACCTTTCGTGAACACATTTCCGTACACAAGTTTTATTATTTTAACCAATGGCATGTTTTAGTAATGCAGCAGCACAGATTTGATTGCACGTCTATTCAAATTATTGGCAAATTAACTTGCAGGACATTGAAAATGAATTCATAATCTCGTTAAATTTCTAAATGCTCAAGTGTAAAATATAGTCAATGGGTGTGATTAGGTCATCATGATACATGTGTAAAATGAATTATGAACCAATGAAATTCAATAAAGTACGGAATTGAAACCACCTTCAGCTGCCAAAATAAAACAGCCACAACACAAAGACGCAGACAACAACCAGCAGGATGGAGTTATTTTTCTAAGCAGCAATTGTACAACGAAAAGCAACATACGGACAAACACGTGAGAGTTTTCAAATCAGTGCATGTCACCTGTAATGTCATTGATCAAAAACAATGGAAAGTGACAAAAAAAAAATTTTTAAACTGAAAATCGTGCAAATAATGAGCATGGAGAGAATACCGCGGCACACCTAGGACATTGCCGCTGACTCGCAGGTACAAAACACCGCATGATAAAACCCACTGCTGCAAACGTCTGAGCAGAAAAACAACGCTCTCCCTTGTGAAAATAGTGAGTGAGTGCCACGAGATTACCCCGGGTCGCTTGAAACCAGCAGTGGAAATGGGTACACCAAAGTCGTATATGTATGTATGTTAAACTTTTCGCACCGTACGTAGCCAAACATGCTAATTGGAGGTGCGGGGGGAGGATAAAAAAAACAAAAAAAAAAGCAGCTCTAAAAAAATAAGTTTTCAATCTAGATTTTAAAAAGTGCATAGCTCCAGTGGCTTCCTAATATCAGAAGATCGTTCCAGATGGCCACATGCGCTCGTTAAAGTGTGGATTACAACTTCCACCTCTGCCGAGAAACTGAAAATCGTGCAATGAGCATGGAGGGAATACAGCGGCACACCAGGTACAAAGCACCGCATGATAACCCACTGCTTCAAACGTCTGAGCAGGAAGAGAACACTCGCTTGTGAAAATAGTGATTACCCAGGGTCGCTTGAAACCAAAGAGGCCCTAAGGGACCACACTGGGACTCGTGAGAATGAACACAGTGGAGAGCCCATTGGCAGAGCAGACAAGGGTAGCTTATTTTATAAGACAGATCTGAAACACAGTAGAACCAATACCTCGGCTGTGGCTGATCATTGTTTTAATGCGGTGGCTCACACGAAATTGATATCTCTAAGACGAAGGTACTTTGCAAACCCCCTGGCTATCAACAAAGATTCGTTCATGAAGCCATCCATATATATAGAAACAGACAAAATTTCAACCGAGAAGATGGATACAAACTTAGCAATCATTGGAAGGACGTTATCAACCAGTTTAAGTCATAACTGGCTGTGATGTTCCCATTCCTGCCACCTTCCGATGTTAATTTTTAATTTTTCCCCGTGGCTTCGGCTCTCCGATTTCACATTAGCAGGTTTAATTTCTCGCGCCAACGTGGCCACCTACGGACGCCGACCTCTGCGTCGCGGTGGCTCTGCGATCTCACATTAACATGCTAATCTCTCACATCAACATGCTAATCTCTCACATGAACATCACTAGCCCTGCCCACTTCGTTTATGACCCGAGGACTACTACACCCTATAACAACAATCTGCATTCAGCAGCTTTCCTCCTGATGACGATCGCTTGTGTTGTGATCGAAACGTCGTAGTTTTTGTTATTTTCTTTGAACCATCTACGTGACTTTACCGAAAGACTCAAATAATATGAATATAAAATGCCAGTTCAGGTTCAGTAATTGAGTTGCGGTGCACCGCGAGAGATCCGAATTAATTATTTCCCAATGACGTGACACACGTGACAGTACCATTGGGTTAAAAATGGGAAAAAGACTTATTAACAAGAGCTGTCTGGGCAGCTTTCAAGAGATCAGGGCAATGAGCTGGCAGGGTTGAGATGATAAGCCTCTTCTTGGTTCTTTCGGTAAAGTCACGTAGAATGGAAATAATAAAATAATAAAAATAAAACATCATAAAATCATTCTCACGACGTTTCGGCCACAACGCAAGCAGCCGTCCTCAGGTGAAGAACAGGTCTGTCAGAAAGACAGCGTCTGAATGAACACCACCGAAAGAACCAAGAAGATAAATCCCTGCAGTCACGAAAGCTTTAAATCGAAAAATGATGAGCCTCCACCACCGAGATGCTCATCCGGGTTACTGATCGAGTACGCCAGCCTTTAAATACCTGAGGAACTGATCACTGGTCGTGCCGCAGTGCATGAAGGAGTTGGCGATGACGGTAGCGGTGTGACACACAGAGTTCCTCACCGCGTCCTGCGGGGGGGAGGGGGGAGAGACACGCACGCCAAGGCGTAAACCACGAGCCTAATTGCACCGCTAACGGGCTGGCGTGCTCGCGCCACCCGCTAATGTTACATCGCAGCACTCAATCACCGGGCTGGACACCTGCAATTTATAACAGCTCTGCGCCAACAAAAAAATACGTGAGAAAACGGATGGTTCGAACGCGTGCGCGCGAATGGTGATCAGTCACCGGACATGCTCTACAGCAATCAATACACGCATTTTTGATAGTTGGATCACTTTCGTAAGAATAGAAGATGTTGCTCTGGTGTAATGGTTAGCACGCTTGCAATATGCACACCAGTTTAATGCGTCCTCCCGGGTCGACATTTGAAACAATGGGTGCACATTTTCTTAAACCCCCCCCCACCCACCATGTCCACCCAGTAGTTGAAATTTGTAAACCATGCTTGTATATGTTGAACGTCTTTCGCACTGTACGTAGAAAACCGCGCTAATCGGAGGTGCGGAGGAAGGACAAACTAAACACAAAAGCAGGTTCTAGAGAAGTGAGTTATCATTCTAAAAGAGTGTGCATAGTTCCATGTTGAAAGGAAGAGCGCGTTCCAGATGGCCGCAGAAGCGCATCTGAAAGCGCGCAATAATGTGTCAATAACAACTGCCTTCTCCCACCTCTCCTCTCCCGAGATGTCGGGCTATCGTAGGGAGAGGATGCCTTGTAGAGGGGTCTCTAGAGATTCAACTCCAGTGGGGGTCCATGAGCCAGGGTCGCACCTTTACCAGTACCATTCAATCCACTTGCACTCGATGACGAGCAGTTTTGTATATTAAAATAATTATAATTATTTACAAGAGGAGAGCATCGTTGCTCATCATTATATCACCATTTTTCGATTTAAAGCTTTCGTGACTGCAGGGATTCATCTTCTTGTTTCTTTCGGTAAAGTCACGTAGAAGGGAGATGATAAAATAATAAAAATAAAACACTAAAAAGAAAAAAGAAACTAATATTTTAATGATTTTATTATCTTAAATTTTTATTATTTTATTATCTCCCTTCTACGTGACTTTACCGAAAGAACCAAGAAGATATCACCATTTGTTTTTCGTCGATTTGCTTTGCTAAATTAATTTTCTGACAGCGAGACGGCAAAACAAAGAGAGGGCACGGTGCTCCGTGGAAGCGACGACGCAAGTGCCAAAACAATGTTCTTGTGACTGATGAGTTTGGGGCCCATTCGGAAGCCCAACCTCACTTTTTAATCACAGTCTTAATTAGGCAAGTTCACAGAGGGAGCACCACACAAGATTATAGTAATTATGGCTGGTGCACGATTACTTAACATGCTTTAATTGTTCAATTTTAAATTTGTACGGGTTGTACGTAGAGGTCATTCTCGTGAGCCAAGTGTGATTTATTTATGTCAGAAAAATGTGCATCGATGTAACCCACGATATAAAAATAGAGGCATATCTCCCCAAGTAAGATGCTTCTGCGTGGTGGAGTCTTTATTAAAACAATTCCCAGCGAAAGCCTTGCCTGCAACTTACACGATACGTTGCTGCTCACCTTTGTGTTTTTTAGGATCATCAGATCTGTGTTGTTATTTCGTATCAGGAACTGGAGATTCAGTTCTATGGACAGTTCTCCGCTCAGGATGGAAATCATCTTCTTCGTTCGCTCCACCTGTTCCGACGACTGTCGAGAAAACAGAGAGCACATCGAACGCATTTATTGGTTTATACAGTAGTAACGACACACACACACACTCGGCGCTTAATTATACATTTTCCTTGGCATGTGCTTATACAGGGTGACGTACCAATTCTGATTGTTTTGGAGGAGTCGGTGTCGTGGGTGGCTTTTCATCTGTTTCCATGGCCTCTCTGGAAGCAATTAAAACAACATTGCAATTACAAACTCCAATCAATATTTGCAGCTGTCTTGGGCCATTACTTCCTGCAATCAGCAATGTACAGAGCGTTCATTATCAACTCGACGGTTATTTAAAGACCGTTTTCTCTGCAATGGGCTACAGTGACCTCTAAAGGCTAGTTTTAATAATTACAACTGCAAACACATGAAGAGCAAAATAAATACAGGGACTCCTCTGCTTACGAACAGTAGACATTGGGACTTTGAGAGATACGAACAAATTTGGGGTCCGTATCCTGTTCGGACCGAGAGTCGTAAGTTCAACCGCCGCGCAATAGATGGCGGTGGTGGCATCTAAATCTGCTGGATATTATAGCACTTTTAAAGCCATTTCCCCGTGTTTAGTGTACATGCCAGATGTGTTTGGGTTCGACAGGAGTAAAGTTGCACTTACGAACAAATCGACTTTTGAACAGACCTCTGGAACCTAACTAGTTCGTAAGCAGAGGAGTCCCTGTACAACCCAGCACAATTTCACACTCTGAGCGCATTAATGTAACTGCATGATAAAATTAACAATAAGAAATACACCACTTCCATCCAAACTATATTCAGCCGTCTGCTATTGATGAAAGGAAGCTCATTAGTGTGACAGTCAATACTTCTGAGTAATGCAGCTGTTGTCTATAAAATTAAATCTTTCGCTTCTTTATTGCATATTCAGATTGGTCACTGGTAAGTTAAGAAATGTGGTTATTTTCCGCCGATGCAAACCCAACTCGCATCGAGACGCATATCTTCCGGGAAGAAATAACCCATGGCTTGTGCTATTAATACAACCAAGGATTCACAGTTGTGATGCTGCAGATCAATTGTTGTGCCACCCTATCTCTTGCTGGATAATATGAAGATAAGCTCAGCGCATGCCGTCATTCGCTTTTAGTATTGAATCGAAGACCACTGAGCGTCTGTGTTAGGGTGCCCTTTGCCGTTAATCCTGAAGCCAACTGCACTGACAAAAAGACAAGAAACGTTATCATTCGAGAAACAGATAAGATAACGTTTAAGCAATTAAGTAACGTAAATTATCCTAAGTTTTCATTGCAGTATGCATATTCAATTCGTCAACCCAATTTACCTGTGAATCTTTGGAGATACACAACAATAAACATCTTCGTCAATATGAACCAACGTCAATAAACTCCTGGATGAAAGCCTCCCCAAGCCATTGGAACCACCGACAGAAAAACTTTGACGGATCCACCTGGTGGCCTAGAGACTCTACAAACAATACTGGGACGGAATACAGTAATCCCTCGCCACTTCGCGGTTCAAGTTTCGCGGTCTCGGTGCATCGCGGATTTTTCGAACTGATTTAAAGGCCTCATTATACCTGTGCAGTAACACCATCATCATCATTCATCATCAAATTCATCGAACTGCACAGGTCTGTCATCGTCGTCATTGTCATCGTCGTCATTACTGGAGTCAAGTCTCAAGATACTACTGTCATTGGTGAGTGTAGAACACCATAATACGTATCATATGAGAGAGAGAGAGTGAATGTATAATATTAAGGTTTTATAATTAAATAGATATAAGTAAAATATATATATATATAAAGTATAAATATACATATTTTAAACATTCTGGTACCCACACACACATATACGGAAATTCCTAGGGGGCCAATCCTACTTCGCGGATTTTCACCTATCGCGAGGGGTTCCGGTCCCCATTAACCGCGATAAACGAGGGATCACTGTACAACATGGATTTTTTTTCCCCATACTTACATTTCCCCCTCCGTGGAGGCAACTGCGCTGCTGGTGCCGTTGCCGGAGGCTGTGGTGGTGTCGGCAGCGGTAGCGGCGGGGACGGTGCCCGCGTTGCAAGAGCCCGGCGTGGTCGCGAGCAGCGTGGGTCCCAGGGCTCGCAGGTTCTGCGCGATGGCCGTCAGGAACTGCTGGCTGGCGCTCTCGTAGAGGTCGAAGCAGATCTGGTAAGCCATGAGCACGTTGTCCTCCTTCACCATCTTGTCGAGGATGTCGCTCACTGCCTGCGGGTCGTCCAGGAAGATGAGGCACTGCGCACGGGGAGGGGAGCGGGGAAGAACAAGAAAAAAGAATGTAACGTTGGTTTAGAATGGCAAGTTCTATCAAAAAAATATTTTTTACAGGTTAAGGCCCACTTGAGCTGTATAGATTCATATTCTTGGTTCTTTCGGTAAAGTCACGTAGAAGGGAAGTAATGCAATAATAAAAATAAAATTATTTTATTATGTTTTATTTTTATTATTTTATTACTTCCTTTCTACGTGACTTTACCGAAAGAACCAAGAGGATGAATCCCTGCAATCACGAAAGCTTTAAACTGTGTAGCTCTTTTTCAGAAGCGGCCTGGCTATCACAGATAATAGCGAAGTGACATTGATTTAAAATGTGGAGGGAGCAAGTTGAGGGGGGAGGAGAGGGGGGGGGAGCTCATCAGAATGTGGTAGCCAATATATTTTAAGGGATTACATCTTGAATCATTGCCTCACTTGATGCAGCAAATCTGGCTGTGACGGTCCCACCTGATGACGGAGACTTGTGTTGCCTCCGAAACGTCGCGATTTTTATTTTATTTTACTTTCATTAATTTTAATGTTTTACCTACGTGACTTTACCGAAAACACCTAAGAATATGAATCCTTGCAGTCACGAAAGCTTCAAATCCAGGGATGAGGAACCTTTTTTGTTACAGATGGCCCAATAGGACTCTCAAATACCTTCGACAGGCAAAAAAACCCACGAGCACAACTTTCAGTGTCACAACTGTCCCTGCAAGGGGGCCTTTTCGCAGCGAGCAAAGCGAATGAACGCATTAAAATTAGAAACACAGCATTGTTGTCAGTCAAAAAAAAAGTCCACTGGATTGGTGCCGCTAAGATGCTTGCAGTGACAGAAAAATATTGTTTGCAGGCCCGTTTCTAAGTGGCAGGCCTCATTTGGCCACGGGACCCTATGAAGGAGGTTGCAGGTCGATTAGACCCAAAGGTAAGCGTTTTCCACCCCTGTCGTAAACATTCGGAGAAGGCGTCGATACCATACGCTCCCAAACGGCCCTCTCTCTCTCTCACCTGGCAGACGTTGATGAAGTCTGGCTGCTCAAGGTTCATGTAGAGCTTGACCAAGACCCGGAGCACCTCGTTTCTGAACTGTTTGTTCTGGATGAGCGACATGCAGATCTTGACGCTGTACGACAGCATGCCGGCAACGTCGGTCTGCGGGGAAGAACAGTAACACACGCGTCACCATAGGCACAACCGCTCATCCATTCATCTGCAACTAGTCATTTCTTTAGGACAGCTTTCACATTTTTAGTTTGTTGTCCTTCCCCCGCATCTCTGATTAGCACGGTTGGCTATGTAGAGTGCTAAAGAAGCTCAACATATATACATACATACAATCAGCGCTCCAGGTAAGTCATGCTGCCAATGTCCTGGGAGCCTCAGCCGGGATACATGGTGAGCTGCTAGACCCTCAATTGCTCTCAGCCCCACCCATTTTTGCATAGCCACACCTACTCAATCACTAGCCCCACCCAGACAGTGCCCTTGGCTCCGTGATATTGGCCACACCTACCGCTCAGTGGCTACACCCAATTCTTTTCCACCCATTCCAGCGCACTGCCCATATCTTAAGTCGAGCGTAATACGGGAAATGTTAAACCAGGACAAAACAATGCAAAAAGCAGGCATAACAATATTATGCGGGTCTATGTTGTGGGCAGCAGAAGACAATGAAGCACAATCCATTGTTGTACTGCACTGCTATGCTTCCGTACCTCCGATTATCATAGTTGGCTGCGTATTGTGCGAAGGAAGTTCAACAAATATAAATATCAATGCCCACCTCCTTAAACGAACTGGCATTGACCAGGTTACTGAAGTGCAGTTAAATAATCCCCACAACCCAGAGGCGTGTATTGACAAAAGGGACGTATGTACATGTAGAATGTGCAGATACCATTGATTATGATGTCTAGGACCTCAAATTAGTTTTCAGGGTGGTCACATGGTCGTGCCATTAACTTTAGTGTACATGTTATGTATATCGTTTATTGTTAAATTTGAATTACAGTTCCTATGATCTGTGACATTGTTTTTATAGTTTTATTTTGGTGATTTCGAAAACATCTGGTTAAGCCACGTTTGTTTGTTGAAGTACAAAGTTATCCTGAAATCTCTAATCAAAATTGTCTTGCGGTTGTTTTTGTTTGACTTGCATCCCACTGGGAATTTTGCACACAGCGTTGATATACGGTGTTTTTTTCTAGAAGACTTTGCTGTTTATTCCTGGATTTTTCTGTTGCGCGTAGTCACTTTAAGATGTTCTTTGTTCACGTTTTTGTTTGTTGCGGTTGTACCCGAATCAAAAGCCGCATGGCTCACAGGGATATTCTAAACAAATTAAACTGAAAACTAAACGAGGAACTGGGACAGGATTTTAAAAAAAAACGCACGGCCTGCAAAATGGCCCTCTCGAAGATGTCCAGGCGGCGGGTCTCCAGGGCGATGCCGATGGCCTGCTTGTACTTGTGGTCGTCGAAGCAACGTTGGAACATCTTGTCCACGATGCCCTCGAGACGCGGGTCGATGGGACGACCGTCGCCCTCGGGAAGATCCGCATTCTCCACGCGAAGCTTCGTGTAGTGGTCGATGCACTTTGCTGTCGAGCACAGAAGGAAAATAAATTAATGAACGAAAACTGATCGTGCTCAGTCCGCACAGTTAAAAAAAAAATCTTAAAGAGGACCTTTCAATGAGTGTTTTCCCCAGAACAACAACAGCCATTCGCCACTAAGTGTCAGTAATGTCACCACGGTGCTTGTGCCAGGCCAGGTGTACTTTAAGGCCACGTGAACTGTCGAACACCTGCTGGCAGGAGGTCACGGGACAGACTGAGGTGCCATGGGTTGACTGACTGAGATGACCGATCGATGCACCATCTGTGCCCCCTACTATCCCCAAACATACATGCATACAAACAAGTGTTATTTCTTTTTATTGGACAAACATCCTTAAGCCAGTCCCTGAGACTCAGTAAAGCTTATGACTTAAGCAATCAGCATTATTAGCATATAAAAGATAATTAATCTCAATGGGTGGTCATACATTTAAATTAAGTATATTAAATTTCGATTTAAAGCTTTCGTGACTGCAGGGATTCATCCTCTTGGTTCTTTCGGTAAAGTCACGTAGAAGGGAAGTAATAAAATAATAAAAATAAAACATAATAAAACAATTCTCACGACGTTTCGGCCACAACGCAAGCAGCCGTCCTCAGGTGAAAACCAGGTCCGTCGAGGCGACAGAGTCTGAATGAAACAGCACACGAGCTTGGAGCATATATATAAGCTGGGCGCATTGACAAAGGAATTTGCATATCAAAAGGAATTTAGCATATTTATGGGAAATGCAGGAATGTGATTAGTACTGCATATGCATGTGCATTATGCAGGATTAACAGCATCAAAGGGAGCTGCAGTTACTGCTGCTGCAGCAGTTGCTGCTGCTGCTGCAGTTTCTGCTGCTGCTGCAGTTGCTGCTGCTGCTGCAGTTGCTGCTGCTGCTGCACTTGCTGCTGCTGCTGCACTTGCTGCTGCTGCTGCACTTGCTGCTGCTGCTGCACTTGCTGCTGCTGCTGCAGTTGCTGCCTTATCCATTTTAATATAACACTATGTATTATTCTACCCACCCTAATGTGTATCATACTGCTATATGTTTACTGTACAATTACGACACCATACATTACTCTGCACACTGCACCATGCCAGTGAGTGGAACGCGGTCTGAAAGTCACCGTAAACGTGAACACAATCAGTTAAGATCCGAAATGGTTTATTACGTCCTTCCAATGATTGCTAAGCCAGAATCCATCTTCTCGGTTGAAATTGTCTCTGTGTTTGTATATGTGGATCGCCTCATGAACGAATCTCTCATGATAGCCAGATGGCTTGCAGAGAACCTCTGTCTTGGAGAAGTCAATGTCATGTGAGCCCACTGAATTGTAACAGTGATCTGCCACGGCTGAGGTGTTTGTCCTACCGTGTTTCAGGTCTGCCTTATGTTCACGGATGCGGTCCGAGACATGTCGTTTGGTTTCTCCAATGTAACTGCTACCACAGAGGCAACTTAGTTTGTAGACGCCAGGGTACTGTATGTCTGGAACCACATCTTTTACAGACGGGACCAGATCACGGATTTTATGTACTATGTTGAATCGGACCTGGATCTTGTGTTTAATCAGGATTTTGGAGATCTTTTTTTTTTTTGCTGGGGTCACAAAAAAGATCTCCAAAATCCTGATTAAACACAAGATCCAGGTCCGATTCAACACAGTACATAAAATCCGTGATCTGGTCCCGTCTGTAAAAGATGTGGTTCCAGACATACAGTACCCTGGCGTCTACAAACTAAGTTGCCTCTGTGGTAGCAGTTACATTGGAGAAACCAAACGACATGTCTCGGACCGCATCCGTGAACATAAGGCAGACCTGAAACACGGTAGGACAAACACCTCAGCCGTGGCAGATCACTGTTACAATTCAGTGGGCTCACATGACATTGACTTCTCCAAGACAGAGGTTCTCTGCAAGCCATCTGGCTATCATGAGAGATTCGTTCATGAGGCGATCCACATATACAAACACAGAGACAATTTCAACCGAGAAGATGGATTCTGGCTTAGCAATCATTGGAAGGACGTAATAAACCATTTCGGATCTTAACTGATTGTGTTCACGTTTACGGTGACTTTCAGACCGCGTTCCACTCACTGGCATGGTGCAGTGTGCAGAGTAATGTATGGTGTCGTAATTGTACAGTAAACATATAGCAGTATGATACACATTAGGGTGGGTAGAATAATACATAGTGTTATATTAAAATGGATAAGGCAGCAACTGCAGCAGCAGCAGCAAGTGCAGCAGCAGCAGCAAGTGCAGCAGCAGCAGTGCAGCAGCAGCAGCAACTGCAGCAGCAGCAGCAACTGCAGCAGCAGCAGAAACTGCAGCAGCAGCAACTGCTGCAGCAGCAGTAACTGCAGCTCCCTTTGATGCTGTTAATCCTGCATAATGCATATGCATATGCAGTACTAATCACATTCCTGCATTTCCCATAAATATGCTAAATTCCTTTTGATATGCAAATTCCTTTGTCAATGCGCCCAGCTTATATATATGCTCCAAGCTCGTGTGCTGTTTCATTCAGACTCTGTCGCCTCGACGGACCTGGTTTTCACCTGAGGACGGCTGCTTGCGTTGTGGCCGAAACGTCGTGAGAATTGTTTTATTATGTTTTATTTTTATTATTTTATTACTTCCCTTCTACGTGACTTTACCGAAAGAACCAAGAGGATTAAGTATATTAGTCATACAAAGCAATCGACTAATATAGAAGGGCTGCCACACTCCGAGCTCTTCAGAAATTTCTTACCATTTCCCCCCAATTTTATGCTGATTGTGCTATTGGCATCATGTCATAAGACAATGTTTTCATTTTGTTCTCCCACCGTGCGACACCTTCATGTAAGGAAAAGCAAATATCACACAAGCTATCTCTGTTCCATACCACTTGAGTTGGAATTTTGTCAAATTAAGTTGCAGAAGTTAATTGAAAGGGATTGGGGATTTTTTAACTGGGATGAGAACATTAACTCACTGCACTTCAGAAACAGGTTTAATCATTCGGCTGAAAACTGGATTTGAACATAAGCATTGCAGCAGTGCCAAGCTCAGCACTGACAAGGTACCAAACATGTCAGAGCAGTCAATATTTTTTATTGACTGAAACACCCACCTCTCTCTAATACCTTCGTTATCTCCCCATCCATATTGTTTCAACTAAAACGGAACTATTTTTATTTTACCAGGTAAGGCCCACTGAGCTGTACAGCTCTTTTTCAGAATCAACCGGACCACAAATGATAGCTCAGCTAAGTGGTTTATCACATGGAAATTAATAGCAGCCAAATACTCCAAATGCACGTTTATAAATGTGGAGGGAAAAACCAGAGGATCCGGAACAAATCCACCCGACCACAAGACATGCAAAGTCCAAATATACAGGTGTCACAGGGTTGGGATCAAACCCACAACCTCCTGTATACTAGCCGAGGTAGTTGCCATCTCGCCACCATGGCGCCCAACAATTTCTGCACATCATAGTTGTACAGATGTTGATCAAATTCAAGCCTGTGCAGAACCAACACCGCATCTTCAGGAATAAAAATCCAGGCACCACACCCTCTCACCCTTCTGCGCTCTGCGATCAGAACTCACCGATGGTCGTCTCGACATACTCGGAGGTGTCGTTGACGTTGAAGAGGTCCCCGGCGCCGAGCGCGTAGTTTAGGGACTCCTCGAAGGCGCCCAGGTGGTAGAACACCTTGGAGGCAACCAGCGCGGCAAAGTGGCGGCTGGGAAAGTTCTCGTCCTCGTACAGCACCTCGCTGTGGCAGAACAGTTGTCGCGACACAATGAGTCATTTGTGAAAAATTAGAATAGGTTTTACTATTTCTGGCAATAAAAAAGATGTTCAAACACCAAATAGATACCCGTTGCGAGGAATGAAGTCTGTATTAACCACACGTACTTGTGGTGAACATGCAAACAAACATGCTCTGATAATAATAATATATGAAGTCTTTGAAATGTATGGTCCTACACGAGACAGGCTTCTTTATGGCCTAGTCTCACCAGTGTCAGACTAGAGAATGCGAAAATGAGAGTTGTACAAAGACAATGCACGTATCAGAGCATTTATAGCTTGGGGCAAAGATTTCCCAAGTGGCATATATTAACCAGGCTTTCCGTGTAAAATTATGCCAATAATTAGCTTTAGTCCTATTTCTACAATTACATTATCAACAGCTGGATTAAGGCCACACAAAAGCCACCATCTCTCATGGTCTTGCGATGTAAAAAGCCAATTAGATCCTTCACACGAGTTATCCATGTATCATGAATGGAACACATCAAAAATCCTACAATATGGATGACCTTTATCTACAGATTAACAAAAGTGGTGAAACAAAGAAATTAAAACAATCTGCAATTTTTTTAGTGTGCATACTTACATTTTATCCACATACTCGGAGATTTCCGCCCAAAAGTCATCAACAAGTGTGTTCAACTTTTGCAGCGCAAACTCCTGCAAGGCAATGAATGAAAGCAGTGAATGCATTAATGACAGAGGCAATGTTATTTTGAACAAAACAGTGTCAAAACCACTATTAAAACCAACTTGAGAAAAGTTGACCCGATTTGATTATAATCTAGACAAATCCACATGCAACAATATAAAAGTCTGTTTTTATTCCAAATATGAAGAATTAAGTTCTTGTTCCCAACAATATAGTGGCGCATCAACATTATGAAACCGAGGTATGGGATTTCAGTGTTACAAATGATACCTTTAAATAATGTTCAGCACGTTCCTCGTACTGCATCATGAATTTCTACGAGATTAAATATAATTTTAACGAGTTGCATGACCTTGTGTATGCTAATAATTGTTTTGAGAACAGTTGCTGCCAACATTTTATCAGGATAACATTTGGACACCCGTGTTCAACATTTAAATTTGTTGTTAAACTGTAACTGCAATTAATTTTGGAATGCGTTGAAAATGCAAGTGGTGAGCAAAAACAAATGTTCCCGTTCAGACATACCTTTAGCTGAGGCTCATCTTCATCCAGCAAAGATATTACTCCGGCTTCAGGGCACGAAACGATAATGAAAAAACACATTATTGACATTACAGCAAAGTTAAGCGCACACATAATAAATAAGCATAAAGAAAATGTTCCAAGGACATCAAAATGCAATGAATATGCAGCCCTCAATGTGTGCGTCTTTAAGCTTATAATTTTAACTATGGCGAGAATGTGAATGATCTGATATTGAGCAAAAAGGTGAAATGGCACGAGCATTAGTTACAGGTGTGAGCGTTTACTATGTTGCGATAATCCACGAACAGAGGTAGACAAGCACCTTTGGTCTAAAATTACACTCATGTGGCCGACGTATTTTTGACAAGCCTAAAGGTATGCGCTAATGTATTCTTGGATGTGAGGTAATTTGAAGTAGATCTTTGTTCATGTGACTACAAGATTGACTGAGAGTTCTAAATCTATCACTGTCATGATGCCAATAATGCTATTTGGAATATGGGACACAAACTTTCAAATTTGACCCGTGCTTTGGTACAACGGTGGAATTCAAGTGGCAAATAAACTGGAGTTGGTTATGAAATGTGGCAATTAATTCCGTGGCACTGAAAATGTTTGAATGCATAACAATGCTTCAACATAACAGGTTTTCAAAAAGTCTGTCCTCACATCCTACAGTGCTGGTTTACTTGTTTACAAATCACCAGCCACGTGAAGAAGATAAATGAAACAATACTGTACACGATCATGAGTTGAATTTGACAATTGGAGTTCATGGTCGGTGACAAAATTGAGACTCAGGACTCAATTACCACTCCTTTGATGGCCACATCATGGATTGTCAGTCCTCCACCATTCTCACTTGACCTAATTTCTAGCCCGATGACAATTAATATGTTCAAAACTACACGACAGATCCGCATATGGTACAATTCGTGCATAATAATTAATGTAAAGTTATTGGTCCTAAGAACATCAATCAAACCTACTGACGGGGACCCTTGGGATGACACAGGCGAAACTCGAAAAGTTGGACATGATTCAAAGCTGGCATTCTCAAATTCTGCTCGAAAACATTTATTCACCAAAGGCATAAGTTGAATAACTAACATTTAATTTCACGATACGCTCATGTGCTACGAGAAACTCCTGTTTTTCTTAATTTAATACACAATCCAGCACAATAACGCAGAGTTATTATGAACGACGTCCACATTTTTCGCTCAACTATGTTAGTGGAGGGCTCTTTCCTACTGTAACATTCAAAAACACGGCAACGCATTAACGTCACACACGTTAAGTATTGTAAATACTAATGGTCACTTGTTAAATGTTGCACAAGTTCGACATCAGACACGACGAATGTTACACGCGTTACAATTGTAGCCATGTTAAACTTCAACACATGTTCATTCAGTGTTACAAGTGTCAACTGTTAACACTTAAAGACACTGAAGCGTTTATTCGTTAACCGATTTAAAACACACAGCGTTACACGCGCTTGCAGCTGACTTTTCAAATCCCAAACATTAACCATTAGACATATCAAGTGTCGCACACATTAAACAAGTTAGCACTTAATGTCAAAAACAAGTTAATTCAAAATTCTACGAAAACAAATTAAAAAAAATATTATAAAGTCACCGGCTGAGGCCTAGCGCAGGCCTTGCCCCGTGACTCAACACTTCCCGTGCGCATCGCTTGTCGCTCACCTGCCGACGTGAGGTTCATCTCTGCGTTCTCCTCGCGTCCTCGGGAGAGAGACGACGACGTTCGACTAAGAGTGACGATGCGGGGAGATGAGCGAGCTAAGTAATCGAAGACTCAATGTGCCGATGATTTGACCTGAGGTCCGTCGCCAGCACACAGACACCGCGAACTCACGCCACGCTCCACAAGGGGCGTCACGTGGTCACTCTCACGTGACGCGGCGGGAGGGTGCGGGGGGGGGCGGAGCTTATGTGTTCGCGCATGCGCATTTGCTGTACGTGAAAAAGGCGGGAACGTAAAATCCTAGGACTTCCCCCCCCCATCTCCCCCTCCCCTACCCGCCTCCCCCCTCCTCTACCCCCCTCCCCCAAGCCCCCCCCATCCCCCCTCCCCTACTCCCCCAAGCCCCCCTCCCCCATTCCCCCTCCCCCAAACCTCCCGATCCCCTCTCCCCTACCCCCCTCGCCCAAGCCCCCCTTCCCCAAGCCCCCCCCCATCCCCCTCCCCTACCCCCCTCCCCCAAGCCCCCCTCCCCCAAGCCCCCCTCCACCAAGTCCCCCCCATCCCCCTCCCCTACCCCCCTCCCCCCATCCCCCCATCCCCCTCCCCCCTGCACTGAGAGAGCTTCTTGGGGGCCTCCCTAAAGGTGAAATAGTTTTAGTGGGTGATCTAAATTGGAATTGGCTAAACCCGCCGGCCGTGGCCACAAATTTTGCAGATGAATTTAACCTGTTTCAATTAATAAATGTCCCCACAAGACCCAACCTAAAAAATCCGGGACAGTCATCTCTGCTAGACGTCCTATTGACAAATGCCCTTCACAATTTCGCACTGACTGGTGTTCTAGGTAATAACCTTAGTGATCACTCCTTCATTTTTGGGGTGAGATCATCAGCCAGACCCAAAGCCCCCCCTAAATTGGTTGAGAAGCACTCCATGAGACACTTCAGCACTCAGGCATTTACTAATGATGTGCTTCACTCGGATATTGACAAGGTCTGTGATATTCAAAACCTGACTACGGCTTGGGAGATCTTCAGGTACACGTTTCTCCAAATTCTTAACAAACATGCTCCGTTGGTTAAATTTAAAACTAAAGGCAACCGTCCACCATGGTTTGATCCTTTGATTACAAAGCTCATGAAAACTAGGGACAAGGCTTGGGCATGTGCTCAGAAAAGTAATTTGGTCAATGACTGGCTAGAATACAGGATTTTAAGGAATAGATGCGTCAAAAAAATACGACATGCAAAAAATAACTACTTCTCTTCCACTCTCCTTGAATCTCATGGAAATGCCAGGATTTTCTGGAAAACAATCAAATGTATCGAAAAGGCATCCAAAACAGATCATCTGCCCGTTCAGCTTAACCGAAATGGGGAATATTTTTCAGATCCCCAAAAAATAGTTGACAATTTTAACCTTCATTTTTCTGAAGCTGGTACCCTATTTGATAATGTATTGGGAGTCACCCCTGCTCATGCAAATTCCTACACCCCTATCCAAACATTAAGCGAATTTAGTTTTCAGCCAATCCACGAAAGTAATGTTCTGAAACAACTGTCCTACCTCAAAGGGTCCTCCTCTACCGGAGCAGATCGTATTCCCGTCTTTGCTCTACTAAGTGTTGGTCACCTAATATACAAACCTATAGCCCATATTTTCAACCTGTCCATCAAAGAAGCATCAGTTCCTCTAGAATGGAAACATTCCTATGTTCGTCCACTTCACAAAGGGGGCCCTAAAGATGATCCAAATAACTACCGACCTATCTCAATTTTGTCCCCGTTGATGAAAATTTTTGAAAAATTATTGACCTACCAAATTAGCAGTTTCCTGTCCGCCAACAATCTATTACATCTAAAACAATCTGGGTTTCGAAAAAAATACAGCACCACATCTGCTGCATTAGACTCTCTGAATCACATTTACAGTAGCCTTGATAATAAGCAGTACTGCGCCTGTCTTTTTCTTGACTTGTCCAAAGCTTTTGATACAGTAGACCACAACATCCTGCTTAGTAAAATAAGTTGCCTCGGTTTTTCCGAAAACACAGTAAAATGGTTAAAAAATTACCTCTTTTCTCGCACCCAAACTGTATTCACAGAGGGTTGGAGGTCAAACAGTGTTAAGATAACAAAAGGGGTTCCACAGGGTTCCATTCTCGGCCCCCTCTTGTTCTCTCTTTATGTAAATGACTTGGGCACTGAACTGGATTATTCCAGGGTAAATCTTTTTGCAGATGACACGGTACTAATTACTGCTGGCCGCTCTCCGGATGACGTGATTGCTAAGCTCCAGAGTGATTTCAACAAACTACAACATCAGCTAGTTGCTCTTAAACTAGTCCTAAATCCTGCCAAAACCAAGGTGCTATGCTTCTCACCAGGACTAAAGCGGGAAGTTATTTTCCCCCAATTACATTCCTTAAATAATGATCAAATAGAGCAAGTCAAGATCTATAAGTATCTTGGGGTCATCCTGGATTCAAAACTGAATTTTGAAGATCACATTGATTATATTGGGAAAAAGACAAAAATTAAAATTGGTTTTCTATATCGACACAAGCACTGCTTCCCTCCTATGTTCCGTTTGAAATTGATTAAAGCTACCATACTGCCTCTACTTGATTACTGTGACATTGTGTATAAATCAGCCCCAAGTACTGTACTGAAGAAGCTTGACTCAATGTATCACTCGGCCTTAAGATTTGCATTGAACTGCCCATATAGGACTCACCACTGTGATCTCTACATTGGGTCAAACTTAACATCTCTGAATGTTCGACGGCTTGTGCACCAGATCTTATTTATTCATGATGTACTTGCAAAAAAATCTGCAGATTACCTGCTGAATCTCGTCTCTGTTTCAAAGAACAAATTTGACCTAAGGTCTACACAATGAAAAGCAAAGCAAGACGATGCGTCTGTGTAATTTAAGTAAAGCAATACCGCATTGGCGACGTTGATGGGAAACACTTTTACACCCTTAGGCGTAAGCAATATTTCAACACTTTTTGGATACCGTACTGCTCATGCTTTCCTGGATTTTGTTCCGTGATTTTTTTTTTCTCCCCACCAACCACCACGTTCACTGTCCGTTGAGTGCCCTCTGCAATTGGGAGTCCGTCCTCATGAACGGGCTCGCGTTTGCGCTCCGGTGCGATGACGCACGACGCTGCGCCCGTTACATCCGTGGCTCAAGTTAGCGTTCGCCGATTTCTAGCGTAGCGTCTTGGATAAATCTTACTGGACGTAGTCGTCACTTTTAATTCTTCTTCAACGGGTGCAGTAATGTTGCCACATACGTGGCGGGGCCGTGTCTCTCCACAGGACAAACAATATTGACGTCCCCGCAAAGTGGCACAGTACTCACTTTATCGACCCTGGAGTAGCAGCCTCTCTCCCCCACCACCAATCAAGTTTGTGAGCTCGCAGCCTTGAAATAAGGATCTGCTCACTCTACCGCTTGAGCCCCCCCCCCCCCCCCCCGTGAAACACGCGGTTGTTGGACCATACTTCACCACGCTGGTCAGTGCAGGTTGGTAAAAGTTGCAAGAGGGCAGCAGGGCCGGTCCAGATGTCGCAACTCTCCACTGTTGTTAGCCCCGGCAGGGAATCAAACTCGGGCATACAGATAGCGCGGCGGTGGGCGAACAGCTCATCCGCCTTCACTCCACTTTTATTGCTTGTGCTGGAGTTTTTTTTTTTAGTAAACTTAAGCCGCTATCGTTTGGTGTGTGTTTTTTTTATGTTGTCAGCTTGAACTTTGCAAGAGGAGCTTTCCACAAACTTGCCAGCTACTTCCAAGCGTTGGCAGCTGGATGTGAAAAGTGGACGTTGATTATTGCGCCGTTGAGCCATGCGCGTGGCGGTGGCGGCGGCTTTTCTCTCGCTTGCAAATCTCGAATATAAATCTAGAGTCGGGAAGAGACGCAAGCTTTTATCTGGGGTGCTGACGCTCGCGTGACGGATACCGCTGCGAGAACACATTAAGATTTTGCTTTCCACGTGAATTGACGTAGTCTCCAGATCATAAAGACGCATCCTCTCCCAAATTTTGCTTTAAAAAAAAAAAAACCGTACCACCATCAACAACAACAAAAATAGTGCGTCGTCTTATAATCGGGAGAATTATGGTGACTGTGGATTTTTTTTCTCCCTCGGTTTTCTTTGTGAGCCAATAAATCTTGATATTTTTTTTTGTTACAGCTTCCAAGTTCTGGTCAGCTTTGTAGAATTACAGAAAAGTTACCCTTGGATGTTCAACTAACGGTTTAATCGGTTTGATAAAATCAAAAACACATGGTCGTGCAGTGCGTGCTAACCAAAACATGTAAACGTGGTTAAGGCCTAACAATTTATCTGGTGTGCTGTCAAACAAGTCATGGCCAACTTTTTAATTATTATTATTCGTACTGCCTCTAACTTGGGACTTAAAAATAATAAGTTTAAATGCAAATGAACGGGAGTGGTGATTTGGATGTTTAGGCTTTAAGTGTTTTTATGCTGCAGAATAAAGGTGTATCATCTGTTACAGCGATAAAAAAAATCAACTAGACACTCGCTCCATATCTTGTATATAAACTTCAAAGAAAAAAGATCTGTAAAGCAAAAAAAAAATCCACATTTCTACGTAGGTGAGTGTTTTCAGTTTTTCTGACTTATTTTGCTTTTGCAGGAATTAAAAAAGTCATTCTTTGGATCATTCTCTCTTCACAGCCATTTGTAACTATAGACCCATCCCCTTGCTGTAATAGTTTATTCTGAGTAACTTTAAAGAAGAAGAAAATAAATTACTCGCCATATTTTGTGCTCTTTGCGAAAGCTGAAATGCTACAAATGGAAATAAAGTTTTTTTGTGAATATAAATTGTGAAATGTCTCTTCTTTGTTTGTACAAGCTACACGCGGGGACAATTTGCCCTCATTTGCGATTGGTTCCAAGTAAAACCAATGTTTGGCCATATCATGGGACCTTTTTTGCCAGTAGCAAAGTATGAAAAATAATAAGAATAGGAAATAATAAAATAATAAAAATAAAACATTATAAAATACAATTCTCACTATTATTATTTCCCTTCTACATGACTTTACCGAAAGAACCAAGAAGATGAATCCCTGCAGTCACGAAAGATTTAAATCGAAATAAGAATAGGGTTTACACCTTTCTAGCAAAGAAAGGATAAAACATATTCTTTGGGTCTTTCGGTAAAGTCACGTAGATTGGTTCAAAGAAAAAAACAAAACTACGACGTTTCGATCGCAACACAAGCAGACTGTTTAAAAGGTTTAATCACTGTCCCCCTTTTTTTTTCCTTCCCGATGACGACCGCTTGTGTTGCGATCGAAACGTCATTTTTTGTTGTTATTTTCTTTTAACCTATCTACGTGATTTTACCGAAAAGACCCAAAGAATATAAATTCCTGCAGTCACGAAAGCTTTAAGTCAAAGGGTAAAACATCATTTAGCTTTTTCAGCAAGGGTAAAAGCTATTCTTATTTTTCATACTTTGAAACTGGCAAAAAAAGGTAACCCATGATACGGCTGTTCACACCCGAGCTATCAATGCTCTGTACATTGTCCTGGTCCTGTTCGCCTGTTGGTGTTCTCTGGTCTGCCACTGGTGAGGCTAGGCCCTAGAGAAGGCTGTCTATGGTGTAGGCCAATCAGTTTCGAAGGCGATGCATGTTTTAGAACACGTGTGTTTGCATGTTCACCACAAGTACTGTATGTGGTCAATGCAGTTACTTGAATACTTGCAAAAGGTTTCTATTTGGGGTTTGAACATCTCAACATTTTGAAACCTCCTTTTGGCGTCATCTGGTCCAACACCATGTGAGACTAGGCTCTAAGGAAAGCTGTCTCGGGTGTGGACCAATCAAGTTCAAGGACAGTGCATACATTATCAGGTGTTTTTTGTTTGCATTCCGACCGCAGGTATTGTGGTCAATGCAAACATGACTCCTTGTAAAAAAGGTGTCAGTTTTGTTGCCAGATAAAAGGATAAAAAAACAATTATCTCAAGACTTCTTGTTTTATTGCTATCATTTTTTCAACCAATGTTTGCCCATTGTCGTGAATATAGCGCCCTCTGGTGGCTGCAAAGTTTACGCGAATAGTTTTAAAAAAGTGTCCAGGGTGACCCAAAATTCAGGACAGGGTAGGGCGTATATTTTTGTAACGAATCTCATAGGGTTATTTAATCTATTTTCACAAATGTGCAAACGGACAGCCATTAACGTTAACGCAAGCGTGAATTCTCTGTGGAAATGAGTTTCGGATTTAAAAGAAAGATTACAAGTAGAATCTTTGAACATTCGTCAACTATGGCTTCGTGTCTCAATGCAGCCAAATTCATTTCCATTTTTAAATGTCATCTGAAAAGGAAGACGAATCGTTGACGTTGACAACGATCACAGATGCAATATTAACGTAAATAAAACAATAATTACGTTTGGATTTAAAGCTTTCGTGACTGCAGGGGTTCATATTCTTGGTTCTGTCGGTAAAGTCACGTAGAAGGGAAATAATAAAAATAAAACAATACAATTCTCACAAAGTTTCGATAGCAACACAAGCAATCATCATCAGGTGTGAAAACCACAGCAAGACAATCATCAGAGGTGTGGTTTTCACACCTGATGATGATTGCTTGTGTTGCAATCGAAACGTGAGAATTGTATTATTTTACTTTTATTATTTCCCTTCTACGTGACTTTACCGAAAGAACCCAAAATAATTAGAATGTTTTTATGTTCGTGTTAAAATATAACATAATAACCCTTTGTGTGTCCCGACTTTTGGGTTCTCCTGTATTATCGACGCAGACCGCGCACTAACATGATGCAGCCATCACACAACCGTGAAAATCAATTTCGCTCAATGAGAATCGAAGCAACCACCGTCTTACACTCTCGTCTCAGAAACTCCCACGGCGCGTTCCGTTCAAACACAAATGACACCGGGGCTCGAATGTCAACCCGGGTCTGCCTAGCTCAGCGACCCTCGCCCCGGCACAACACGTCCAGTATACCGCTGGCTACGACTGCGCCGACTTCAGTGTCCGTGCCACTCGCTGCAGTCTGGCCCAGCCGCACGGAACACATTCTCTGAGAGGAAGGGTGAAACCACGAGGGAAACGACGCGGTTAACCAAAACCTCTCTCCGACTTATTTCCTCAATACTTGAGATTGAGAAAGTAAATTGTTACATTGTTGAGGGTTTTGAGGCCGGGGGGGGGGGGCTTTGTAAATTATTTCGCGGTGCCGGTTTTTAAATCCTTTATATTAAGTTCGCTTGCTTGCTTGCGTGCTTGCTTGCTTGCTTACGACCGTGCAAACCTTTCGGTCGTTTTTTAACCCACTTCCCGTGATCCAATCGAGCTGACATTTTCCACACAGACTCGTTGTGCGAGACAATTAATGTTCGCGAAAAAAATAATTCCAAAATTTTACACTGTTTAGGGAAAACAAATTAAATATTTAATTACCAATTGTTTATATCTGCAGACAATCATCTGACCCATAAGTGGCAGCCATCTCAAGCCAGAGGACGAGAGGACTCTAGCTGCCACGCATATAAAGGATTTAGAGTGAAAAACTTTGTTTTTACGGGTTATACTTATTTCTTCTTGTTGTTCACTCATGGTGATGTTTTGCGTATGAATCCGCACACCCCGTGTGCTGAGTTTGAGACGGAAAAAAATAACCCGTAAAAACAAAGTGTTTCACTATAAATCCTTTATATGCGTGGCGGCTAGAGTCCTCTCGTCCTCTGGCTTGAGATGGCTGCCACCTATGGGTCAGATGATTGCCTGCCACCATTAAGCAATTGGTAATTAAATATCATTTATTTTTTCCTAAAAAGTGTAAAATTTTGGAAAAAAAATTTCACGAAAATAAATTGTCACGCACAACGAGTCTGTGTGCAAAATGTCAGCTCGATTGGATCACGGGAAGTGGGTTAAAAAACGACTGAAAGATTTGCACGGTCGTAAGCGCGCAAGCAAGCAAGTGAACTTAATAATAAGGATTAATAAGTATAACCCGTAAAAACAAAGTTTTTCACTATAAATCCTTTATATGCGTGGCAGCGAACTTAATATAAAAGATTTTAAAATATATTCGCCTGTGGAGGACGCGGGGATCGATCCCGCGACCTTTGGCATGGGAAGCGAGGGCGCTACCAACTACGCTACTCCGCCACGGCCTGTGGAGGGGTTACGCTCTTGGCTCTTACACTCTGACGTTCAGCCAAAGCCATGAATTAGTTCTATTTGAATATATGTAAAATAAAACAATTTTGCCTAAAAAGTGTAAAATTTTGGGAATTTTTTTTTCACGAACAATAATTGTCTGGCACAACGAGTCTGTGTGGAAAATGTCAGCTCGATTGGATCACGGGAAGTGGGTTAAAAAACGACCGAAAGATTTGCACGGTCCTAAGCAAGCAAGCAAGCACGCGAACTTAATATAAAGGATTTAAAAAACAAAAACATGAACAAGAAAACATCTTAATGTGACTGTGCAAACAGAAAATCCAAGAAAAGACGGCAAAATATCGCATAAAAAGCACTGTACACCAACCATACTTCTTCACCACGCTGGTCAGCGTGGGTTGGCGAGGAACAGTGCTTGAGGTGTCACTCACCACTGATGTTGGCCATGGCTGGGAATTGAAGTCGGATCTCCAACATTTGTCGTGCATTGTATGTATGTTGAACTTCTTTCACGCCATGCATAGCCAGCCGTGCTAAGCGGAGGTGCGCTAACCACTGTGCTGCACTCTTGAGAGCATATTAGCCATTGAATGTCAAATCAATTCTTGACTGTGACAATTAATCAATGAACCCTTTCGACGTACGTGTACGTCATCTGTTCATCTTCCTATTCCATTCCGATGACGCAATTAAAACGAAACCGGAAGAAAACCCAAGACAAAGTGACTTTATCGGTACCGAGGCTCCTACAAGGCCATGCCGGAGAGCGTGTGGCACAGTTTGGCGCCAGCGATCGTAGATCGCGGGTGTGTCGCTCCAGTTCTCTGCGGCGAGTACAGCGTCTTTAAAAACAACGGCGGCGCTACTAAGCCTCAAAATTAAAATAAACGCTGAACCACGTGCGCGTTCCGAGATTCGGCGGTGAACGGGACCCCACCCTGCAACTTGCAGACGTCTCAGAATGGGAAAGGGTTCAGTGGACTACTTTGTACAGCCAGCTGGTTAAGCGGTGGAGTGAAGTTCACAACCTGGTCGGGGGTTGACTCAACCCATTGACAATCTGGGGTCTTTTCGATTTAAAGCTTTCGTGACTGCAGGGATTCATCTTCTTGGTTCTATCGGTAAAGTCACGTAGAAGGGAAGTAATAAAATAATAAAACATAATAAAATAATTCTCACGACGTTTCGGCCACAACGCAAGCTGTCTCCCCGACAGACCTGTTCTTCACCTGAGGACGGCTGCTTGCGTTGTGGCCGAAACGTCGTGAGAATTATTTTATTGTTTTATTTTTATTATTTTATTACTTCTCTTCTACTTGACTTTACCGAAAGAACCAAGAAGATGAACCTGGGGTCTATAAAACGAGTATCGGTTTTGGGGGGAATTCCACGGTGGTTGTCCTATGGGTAGACTCGCCGCTTCCCTGCCAGAAGAATGTGGAATTTCCACCACTGGTTCAAGGCCGCCATAAGCGAGTCATGATCACCAATGCATCAATGCTTATTTGACCTGACAATCACTTGAAGCTAGACTTGACCTTCGTGTCAGTCATGTGCAGGAGTGCACACACGATTTATATATCATTGCATACAATGCAGCATGGAATGTGATGTACAGTAAAACCTCGTTATTTCGATATTTTTGATTCGTAATTGGGGGGATAATTCGGCAGCGCTGCGCTTTTGGCATATACTGTATATTAGTAATTCGCCATGCGACGAATTGTGGTACCGACTGGTCCAATTTCGGAATTTCAGCATGAATGTGGTGCGACGCCGTGTGCCACATCCAAAACAATGACTCAAGATTTGAAGCTTTCGTGATTACAAGGATTCATACTCTTAGGTTTTTTCGGTAAAGTCACGTAGGTAAAAAGAAAAATAAATGATGAAAAATAACAAATCACGTTATTTTATTTCTATAATAATTTTTATTATGTTTATTATTTATTATGTTTTTTACCTACGTGACTTTACCGAATAAATCTAAGAGTACAAAACAATGACTCAGTCCAGTGGCGCAGGGAAGTAGCATTGTACATCATTCGGAATATTGGATAATTTTGCAAAGGCCAGAAACCCCATATGTGTTGCATTAACAAGTGTTTACTGTCTTTGCACGATGTTTAAGTGTGTGTGTTGAGCACATGTAATGCACCTTATTCTCATGCACCGCAATCCACATCGACACGTACGACGCGCTGACAACTGCGGTGAGGAACACAAGTTTTATTGTTTAAAATAAACTCGCCCACTCCCGCCCAAAATGGCAATGTCCACCAAAGGGAGCTGCACCCGCTTGTGCGAGCGTGTGCTGGTCTCGGTGGGTGCATCCTGGCGTGTTGTTTGTGCGAATCGTTCGCTACCAGAACACCTGGTATCGGGAGCGGTGTTCTCTTCTCATGTTAAAGTAAATCCGTTGGGGTCTTGATACCCGATCCACGGCGGGACGTCTCCAGCGTCACCGCGGGGACGCAGGGGACGCCGACGGCGCCGCGTGCGGCGCGGACGGGCAGAACACACCGGAGGACCAGCTCCGGCGAGCGCATCGTCGTCGTCGGCGGCGGCGGATTGTGCCGGAGTGACCGGTGGCGGTGGTCTCTGTCCGCGGCAACCATAGCGAGCGCCGGTAACCGGGGATGATGTAACGAGAGACATCAGGGAAGGGATGTCTCGCTGGCCAGCGTCGCGAGCGCCGGTCTTTGCTGGTGCTGGAGGGGTGGGCAGCAGTGGAGATGGGCTCAACTGGGTGGGTTCAGGAGCCTGCATCTCCACCGGCACGAGAGTGGTGGGCAGCAGTGGAGATGGGCTCAACTGGGTGGTTTCTGGAGCCTCCATCTCCACCGGCACGAGAGTGGTGGGCAGCAGTGGAGATGGGCTCAACTGGGTGGTTTCTGGAGCCTCCATCTCCACCGGCACGAGAGTGGTGGGCAGCAGTGGAGATGGGCTCAACTTGGTGGGTTCTGGAGCCTGCATCTCCACCGGCACGAGAGTGGTGGGCAGCAGTGGAGATGGGCTCAACTTGGTGGGTTCAGGAGCCTGCATCTCCACCGGCACGAGAGTGGTGGGCAGCAGTGGAGATGGGCTCAACTTGGTGGGTTCAGGAGCCTGCATCTCCACCGGCACGAGAGTGGTGGGCAGCAGTGGAGATGGGCTCAACTGGGTGGGTTCAGGAGCCTGCATCTCCACCGGCACGAGAGTGGTGGGCAGCAGTGGAGATGGGCTCAACTGGGTGGTTTCTGGAGCCTCCATCTCCACCGGCACGAGAGTGGTGGGCAGCAGTGGAGATGGGCTCAACTGGGTGGGTTCAGGAGCCTGCATCTCCACCGGCACTGGAGGGGTGGGCGGCAGTGGAGATGGGCTATGTTGGCAGGCATCCTCGGCGCTGGTTTCCGCGGGTGCTGGGGGCGTGGGCAGGAGTGCAGGCTGGGGGACGTGGGCCCGGTTGCGGCCGCGTCTGATGGCAGCGTTGCGTGCACGTCTTATCCGGGCTGCAGCCGCCCGAAGAGCAGGGCCGAGGTCTCGTCTGTGACCTCTGACCCTGCCCACAATGGGCGCCGCCACCATCGTGGCCTTCTGCAATTCAGCACAAAACAAACAGGATTGAATGTGTCTTCAATGGTAACAAAGATAAAGGTGTAAACCCTGCAACTGGCTTTACATCAAATTGTTTAGTTTGTCCTTCCCTCGCGCAAACTGATCATCCTCCCAGCAGCTTTCGGCTAACCAGATGCGCTTCGTGCGGCCGTCTGGAACGCTCTTCCTTCCGACACTAGGAAACCACCGGAGCTATGCACTTTTAAATCTAAATTTATAACGCATTTCTTTAGAACTGCGTTTTGTGTTTAGTTTGTTGTGCTCCGCACGCACCTCCGATTGGCACGGTTGGCTACGTATGGTGCAAAAGAAGTTCATTATACCGTACATAATGTGAGGAACACATGGATGAGAGAAAGAAAGTGGGCTCGGCTGAGGGTCTCGAGTAATAAAGGAATACAATGTGTCCAACAGGACATCATCAGGTTATATGGCGTGCTAACACTGGCTTGTAGCTAGCTGCCACGTGAATGATTACACTGCAGAAGCGTGAGAGATCGTGAGAGGTTGGGGATGCCCTCATCCAGCAGTGGATGAATCATGACTGGTGGTGATGATGAAATAAACCAGTTCAATGACGGTGTCAGGATCAGAATGTGTATTGATGCTGGAGGAATCTGATGAGCTATTAAGCACTTTTAACAGGTGTCCAGTAGGTTTGTGTAAGAACGTTACAACAACAAATAATACAAAACTATGACAGTAATGCAAATAATAAGGTAAACAAATCGCTCAAACAAATACAAATAAAACTAAACCATCATCCTACCAGGCAAAGTCCACTTGAGCTATTAACTTATTTTCTTAGAAGCAACTTGGGCATTAACAGCAGCCAAAATAATAATTCAAGTTCATTTATTTGGTGTAGCCCTGTGAGCCATTCGGTTCTTGAATCGGGTGCAACCGCAACAAAAACAAAAACATGAACAAGAAAACATCTTAAAGTGAATATGTGACCAAGTGCAAACAGAAAATCCAAGAAAAGACAGCAAAATATTGCAGAAAAAGCACCGTACACCAACACTGTGTGCAAAAATCCCAGTGGGATGCAAGTCAAACAACAACTTAGATAAATTTTCGATTTAAAGCTTTCGTGACTGCAGGGATTCATCTTCTTGGTTCTTTCGGTAAAGTCACGTAGAAGGGAAATAATAAAATTAAACATAATAAAATAATTCTCACAACGTTTCGGCCACAACGCAAGCAGCCGTCCTCAGGTGAAGAACAGGTCTGTCGAGAAGACAGAGTCTGAACTTAGATTAAGGCCATCAGTCTTACAACAAACAAACATGACCAATATTCTTAGGTTTTTTCGGTAAAGTCACGTAGGTAAAAAATTAAAATTAATAAAAGTAAAATAAAAATCACGACGTTTCGGAGGCAACGCAAGCTTCCGTCTTCAGGCAGAACCGTCACAGCCCGACAGCTGTATCAAGTAAATGAGGGATTACAGGAGATACCACTCCGTATATATAATGGTTGAAGGCGGCAGGGCCAGGAACGGCACACTTTTTATTAATATGGTAAGGTGAGGCTTAAGACTAAGAATAGACTGCATAACAAATGACTGAGCCTTTGTTATGGAGAGGTGCGGTTTGTGACTAACGCCTAGCCTACATAACAAATGCTGCAAATGAGACCGAGCCTCTGCCATGTAGATGGTAATAGGCTACATACCAAAAGACTGAGCCTTTATTATGGAGAGGTTCGGTTTGTGACTAAGCTGGCCTACATGACAAAAGTGTGAAAAAAGAAAGCTAAACCTGGTAAAACAGAACTGGCTGTCTATCAGTAACCTGTATTAGTTGTCTGTTCCACCTGAAGACGGAAGCTTGTGTTGCCTCCGAAACGTCGTGATTTTAATTTTAATTTTACTTTAATTAATTTTAATTTTATACCCGCGTTACTTTACCGAAAAAAACCTAAGAATATGAATCCTTGCAGTCACGAAAGCTTCAAATTTAGAAACGTGACCAAACCAAAAAAACTTTTCGATCTCAGTAACGCGCGCGCTTCTAATCGCTCGCTCGCTCGTTCACCTTGCGACGCACGGAGAACCACAGTTGCACGAGGGTGATGACGACGTGGTACAGAACGTTGAGGCCGCCGTCGGAGTAGGAGGTTTCCACTTTGGCGCAGGGTGGGAGTCTGCCGAAGGGACGTTGAGCCGGGACGCTGCGGGAGACGGCCGAGGTGGCCTCGGCGGTTCTGTTGGGACAGCAGCAGACGGACAACGTCGACAACGTCAGACGGTGGGGGGGGGGGGGGGGTTGGTGGCGCTGCTACGTAGAGGGGGGGGGGTTGGTGGCGCTGCTACGTAGAGGGGGGGGGTTGGTGGCCCTGCTACGTAGAGGGGGTGGGGTTGGTGGCCCTGCTACGTAGAGGGGGGGGGGGGTTGGTGGCCCTGCTACGTAGAGGGGGGGCTGCTACGTAGAGGGGGGGGGGCTGCTACGTAGAGGGGGGGGGGCTGCTACGTAGAGGGGGGGGGGCTGCTACGTAGAGGGGGGGGCTGCTATGTAGAGGGGGGGGCTGCTACGTAGAGGGGGGGGGCTGCTACGTAGAGGGGGGGGCTGCTACGTAGAGGGGGGGGCTGCTACGTAGAGGGGTGGCTGCTACGTAGAGGGGGGGGGGCTGCTACGTAGAGGGGGGGGCTGCTACGTAGAGGGGGGGGGGCTGCTACGTAGAGGGGGGGGCTGCTACGTAGAGGGGGGGCTGCTACGTAGAGGGGGGGGGCTGCTACGTAGAGGGGGGGGCTGCTACGTAGAGGGGGGGGCTGCTACGTAGAGGGGGGGGCTGCTACGTAGGGGGGGGGCTGCTACGTAGGGGGGGGCTGCTACGTAGAGGGGGGGGGGCTGCTACGTAGGGGGGGGGGCTGCTACGTAGAGGGGGGGGGCTGCTACGTGGGGGAGGGGCTGCTACGTGAGGGGGGGGCCTGCTACGTAGAGGGGGGGGCTGCTACGTAGAGGGGGGGCTGCTACGTGGGGGGGGGCTGCTACGTAGAGGGGGGGGGCTGCTACGTAGAGGGGGGGGGGGCTGCTACGTAGAGGGGGGGGCTGCTACGTAGAGGGGGGGGCTGCTACGTGGGGGGACTGCGACGTAGAGGTGGGGGCTGCTACGTAGAGGGCGGGGGCTGCTACGTAGAGGGGGGGGGCTGCTACGTAGAGGGGGGGGCTGCTACGTGGGGGGGGCTGCTACGTAGAGGGGGGGGCTGCTACGTAGAGGGGGGGGGCTGCTACGTGGGGGGGGGCTGCTACGTAGAGGGGGGGGCTGCTACGTAGAGGAGGGTGCACTGCTACGTGGGGGGGGCTCTGCTACGTGGGGGGGGGGGGCACTGCTACGTAGAGGGGGGGGGGCTCTGCTACGTACCTGGCGTGTCCACCGCTGGGGCGGGTGCGCGCGTGCCACGCTGCGGGGCTGACGTCAAACGCGACGGCGTCTTCGCTGCTGTTTTGGAGAGATGATTGGTTGTGGTGGTTGTTGTTGTTGTTGATCATCAACTCGTAGAAGGTTGTTGTTGAGTTCTCGATCGTGGACATTCCTGGCTGATCCCCACGATGGATTAGGAGGATGCCCAGAAGCCACAAAACGTTTTTGACGCAACTCGCCATGTTGACAATTATATTTCTTTTAGTTTGTTTTTAACAAAACAAAATAAAAATCTCTCTCCAACGACGTCAAAGTTCGCGGCCGTCGTCTCGATGCGCCTCCCCTGGCGAGCGACGGGGAGAAACACGTGGGTCCCGCGTGACGTCAGCGCGTGACGACAGCCAATGATTACGACGTCACGACACGTGGCGCACGTGACCACGTGGGGTGGTGGGGCGGTTTGAATGGCGTTGAACAGAAATAGTTTTACGGGTCACGATGGGGATGGACTTGTCCCCGTCGTACGAACGTGGAGATGCCATCACTTACTCCAGGGCCTGTAAACTGATGAGATGAACACCGCCTCATGTTGTTTGTTTGTTTGTTTGATGTTTGTTTGTTTGATGAAAACACAGTAAAATGGTAAAAAAATTACCTCTTTTCTCGCACCCAAACTGTATTCACAGAGGGTTGGAGGTCAAACAGTGTTAAGATAACAAAAGGGGTTCCACAGGGTTCCATTCTCGGCCCCCTCTTGTTCTCTCTTTATGTAAATGACTTGGGCACTGAACTGGATTATTCCAGGGTAAATCTTTTTGCAGATGACACGGTACTAATTACTGCTGGCCGCTCTCCGGATGACGTGATTGCTAAGCTCCAGAGTGATTTCAACAAACTACAACATCAGCTAGTTGCTCTTAAACTAGTCCTAAATCCTGCCAAAACCAAGGTGCTATGCTTCTCACCAGGACTAAAGCGGGAAGTTATTTTCCCCCAATTACATTCCTTAAATAATGATCAAATAGAGCAAGTCAAGATCTATAAGTATCTTGGGGTCATCCTGGATTCAAAACTGAATTTTGAAGATCACATTGATTATATTGGGAAAAAGACAAAAATTAAAATTGGTTTTCTATATCGACACAAGCACTGCTTCCCTCCTATGTTCCGTTTGAAATTGATTAAAGCTACCATACTGCCTCTACTTGATTACTGTGACATTGTGTATAAATCAGCCCCAAGTACTGCACTGAAGAAGCTTGACTCAATGTATCACTCGGCCTTAAGATTTGCATTGAACTGCCCATATAGGACTCACCACTGTGATCTCTACATTGGGTCAAACTTAACATCTCTGAATGTTCGACGGCTTGTGCACCAGATCTTATTTATTCATGATGTACTTGCAAAAAAATCTGCAGATTACCTGCTGAATCTCGTCTCTGTTTCAAAGAACAAATTTGACCTAAGGTCTACACTCATTTACCAGCTTAATATTCCCTATTGCCGTACATATACTGGAGGAAGGGCCTTTGCTATTGATGCCCCCAGGGTCTGGAATGCTGTTGCAAATAAATTGAAACTTGAGTCACTACCTATGAGATCTTCACTCAAAACTGCTCTAGAGGAGTTGTACACCCCTAGCTGCCAGTGCTATTCAGTGACCTAAAATTAAATGTTTCGCTCCGGATGATCGCTACAAAGTATGACCTGTGTTTTGATTTAGTGTGCTGATCTTAAAGGTGCATTGAAAAATTACAATACTCCGATTGATGCTCCTGCTGTTGTGGAGTGACTCATGCAGCCAGCTATGGCTGCAGGGTTTTGGTAGTAGATGTTGTTTATGCCATTTATTGTGAAAATTCCGTCACAGTTCCTATGGTTGCTTTTTCATTGCTTTCATGGCTTTATTTTGGTGATTTCGAAAAGTGTATTGGTTTAGCCATGTTTGTTTGTTGTAGTACAGAGTTAGACTGATGGCCTTAATCTAAGCTGTCTTGTGGTTGTTGTTGTTTGACTTGCATCCCACTGCGATTTTTGCACACAGCGTTGGTGTACGGTGTTTTTTCTGCAATATTTTTGCTGTCTTTTCTTGAATTTTCTGTTTGCACTTAGTCACATATTCACTTTAAGATGTTTTTTGTTCATGTTTTTTGTTTGTTGCGGTTGCACCCGATTCAAGAGCTGAATGGCTCACAGGGCTATACCTAATAAATGAACTTGAACTTGAACCAGATAAGTTTACAATAGCTTTTTTTACACATGTAGGGTCCTATCAAAATGAACTTTACTTTAAATTGTTTTGAAGTTTATAAATCGTCAAATTTTCATGGAATGAATTCATTTCAATAGTGTGAAATGTGCATGTAAGTTATCATTATGTGTATACATTTCCATCTGAATTGTACATTTACATATCATGTTTGAAGACTCTTAATTTAAGTATTTAACCCTCGGTGGCTCTGCGGCTCAGTAAGCAAGACCCATGCTAAACTTAGTACAGTGCCGCTGTGTGGGTAAGCTCACACCGGTTGTTAAATGGATGGACTTAACCCCGTCATACGATTGTGGAATTTCAATCGGTGGACTGCAGGGTCAGGAGATGAACACCAACTCTGATGCTTCATTTGCGCAGCAAATCACCTTTACTTAGAATAAGAGTATACTGGACTGTCATCGAATTAATCTTTAACAAATGAGCGGTTCTTCTACTCCATAAAGTTACCCCCTGCTCACTCAAGAGCCCCCCGTGTTTTCACTGCACCTTGGAGTGAGCTCTTGGTAGAGTTTTAACCACGAGCTAAAGTTAGCAAAAGTTATAAACGCAAACAGTAAATTCTAGATTTGAAGTTTTAGTGACTGCAAGGGATCCACATACTCTCTGGTTCTTTCGGTAAAGTTACGTAGGTGAAAATAAAATAAAATGAAAACTAAATACAATTTTAAATTAAATTAAATTAAAACAACTAAATAAAATTTCATCTTCTTGGTTCTTTCGGTAAAGTCACGTAGAAGGGAAGTAATAAAATAATAAAAAGCAAACATAATAAAATTATTCTCACCAGGTCCGTCGAGGCGACAGACTCTGTCGCCTCGACGGACCTGGTTTTCACCTGAGGACGGCTGCTTGCGTTGTGGCCGAAACGTCGTGAGAATAATTTTATAATGTTTTATTTTTATTATTTTATTACTTCCCTTCTACGTGACTTTACCGAAAGAACCAAGAAAACTAAATTAAATTTTAATGAAATTAAATGAAAAGAACTACATTTCATTTTTGAAATAAAATAATGAAAACAACTAAATTTAATTTTAAATAAAATAAAATGAAAACAACTGAATTTAATGTAGTTGTTTTCATTTTAAATTAAATTAAGTTTTTATTTTCACCTACGTGACTTTACCGGAAGAGCCAGAGCACTAACAGTATGTACTTGACGCCCCACACTGACACAATGAACACCTCGCTGGCTCTTGACTCTGCCTCTCTCTTTCCCTCCCCACCTCCTATCGCGGTGCGTGTGGTCATTAAAGAAAAATAATTAACTCGCGGTTACTGTACAATTAGTTTTGTCCTATAAAATATCCACGTGCCGATGAGACCGGCCACTCCGTTGAGCTACTAATTATCATTTGTGAGAAACCGAGTCGCTTCTGGCGAAAAGCCACGATATTAGTGGTTCAGTGGGGGCCTCTTAACTGGGAAAATAAAATAAAATGTTTATCCTTTTAGGTTTTTTCGGTAAAGTCACGTAGGTAAAAAATAAATAATAAAAATAATAGAAATAATAATAGTTTATCGTTTAGTTTGTTTATCGTTTAGTTTGCACGTGTGCGTGTGTGTGTGGCGTTGACGACTTGGGGGTTATTGGATCTCTAAACAAAAACAACATTAGTCATCTAACAACTAACGCAAGGCACCGATTCTGTTCAACAATTGCTGCACTCATTTTTGCCTCGTCTCTGCTTGTGTCCACGTGGGCTCTGTAACTCTGCGATTAGCACGGTTGGCTACGTACGGTGCGAAAGAAGTTCAACACGCACACGGTTGCGTCTGCGTTTGAACTGTGGGTGGGTTGGCTTGGTGGATGTACATGCGTGGGCAGGCGAGTGCGGGTTTTGGTGTTTTTAGTACACTTGCCTCAAGGTGCACCTAGCCTGGCACAAGCGCCGTGGTTAACGTCTCCAACTTAGTCGTGAAAGGCAGCGGCTGTTGTTGTTGTTTCTAGGCACTGGTTGTTGAGCTGTCAATGAAACGCTCTACAAAGACAAAGATCCCCCGTGTAGCCTTTACAGACTTTGGGGCAAGTGCTGTAAGTGAGCATCTGCGAAGACCGGCGCTGTGGCACACGAGGGCGTGGTGGCCAGTACCATGCCCGACCGCCTTTGTCTCCCTCTTGGCGGTGTGGCCATTACGGTATAAGGCCATCAATAATTCACCTGCACAGCTAATCGGCTTAAATGTGTTGTGAGACTCATCAAAGCTTTGCAGGACAAATTAATTGTATTATAATTGTTATTAGAAATAGATTTTAAGTGGGTGTTTTATTTTTGTTAAACATGTTACTTTAGTCGTCTTTAAAACACCACGATGTGAATACCATCGATTTGCATATGAAGAATGCAGTTCAGCAGACCTTTGACAATCCACTGCTAGATGAAAGCCTTCCTTTTGCCGTGTTGGTTATCAGGGTTGTTTCAAGTTCAAGTTCATTCATTTGGTATAGTCCTGTGAGCCATTCGGCTATTGAATCGGGTGCAACCGCAACAAACAAAAAAACAAAAACATGAACAAGAAAACATCTTAATGTGACTATGTGACTATGTGCAAACAGAAAATCCAAGAAAAGACGGCAAAATATCGCATAAAAAGCACTGTACACCAACCATACTTCTTCACCACGCTGGTCGGTGTGGGTTGGCGAGGAACAGTGCTTGAGGTGTCACTCACCACTGATGTTGGCCATGGCTGGGAATTGAAGTCGGATCTCCAACATTTGTCGTGCATTGTATGCATGTTAAACTTCTTTCACGCCATGCCGTGCTAAGCGGAGGTGCTAAGCGGAGGTGCGCTAACCACTGTGCTGCACTCTTGAGAGCATATTAGCCATTGAATGTCAAATCAATTCTTGACTGTGACAATTAATCAATGAACCTTTTCGACGTACGTGTACGTCATCTGTTCATCTTCCTATTCCATTCCGATGACGCAATCAAAACAAAACCGGAAGAAAACCCAAGACAAAGTGACTTTATCGGTACCGAGGCTCCTACAAGGCCATGCCGGAGAGCGTGTGGCACAGTTTGGCGCCAGCGATCGTAGATCGCGGGTGTGTCG